AAGATATCAAAAATTCTCACAATTGGAACAATAACAAACATCATGATAAATGGAGAACAGATTGAAGCTGTCAAAACCTCATTTTGCTTGGGTCCATTATCAACATTCATGGAAGCAGTAGTCAAGAAATCAAATGACATATTACATCAGGTAAATCTACTGTACAAGACTTCTTTAAAGTATTCAAGAGCAAAGATGTCAGTTTGAGGACTAAGCTGTACCTGACCCAAGGCATGTTACTTCTGATAACCTAATGTACTTGTGAAAATTAGACAATTAATATGGAAGACTTTGATGCATTTGAGTTATAATGTTAGAGAAGAATATTAAAAGTACCATGGACTGCTAGAAGAATTAACAAATCTGTGTTGAAAAAGTTAGCCAGAACGCTCCATAGAAGCCAGGATGGTGAGACTTTGTCTCGCATACTTAGGACATATTATCAAGAGGGACCAGTTCCTCTTGATGTCCCTGGAGAAGGACATCAAGCTTGGAAAAGTGAAGGGTCAGCAAAAAAGAGGAAGACCCCCCAATGATCTGGATTGGCAGAATGGCAGCATCAACGGGCTGAAGCGTAGGAACAATTGTGAGGATGGCTCAGGGCCAGGCAGTGTTTTGTTCTGTTGAGTATGAGATCTCTATGAGTTGGAATCAAGTCAACAGCACCTAACAACAATGATAACTTTCTGAGGTGACTTCTCTGCCTTGAATTTCTCTGGCCCAGCAGATGCATTAGGAAGTCTGTTTTTATTGGACCTGTATTTTCAAGGTACTGTGGTGCTATAGGATAAGCATTATACTGTTAACCACACGGCTGGCAGTTCAAACTCACCAGGTGCTTCTTGAAAACCCTACACAGGGTCACTATGAGTCGGAACCGATTCAATGGCATTTAACAACAACAGCAATGGAAGTAAGACCAGTGTATTACTGAGAGAGCTTGTCTGCAGTCAACCACTGATGAAACAGCTGTATTTCAACACTTTGTTTTGAATAAACCTGTGCAAGCCTTGATTTGCAATACTGAAGGACTATACATAAAAATATTAAATGATGCAGAAAGCATCATCAAAAGAATACAGAGTCACTGTACCACAAAAAAATGCTCAATGTTCAACCATTTCTAGAGCTAGCATATGATCAAGAAACAGCAGTACTGAAGGAAGAAGTCCAAGCTGCACTGAAGATACTAGTGAAAAACATGGCTCCAGAAATTGAAGGAATGTAATTTGCACACACTGATGCAGCACTGGAGGCACTCATTCATCTATGCCACGAAATGTGGAATGCAGCTACCTGGCCAACCTATTTGAAAAGACCTATATTTGTGCTCATTCTAAAGAGAGGTGACCCAACAGAATGCAGAAATCATCGAATAGTATCACTAATAACACATGCAAATACATTTTTCATGACGTTAACTCAAAAATGACTAAAACAGCACAGTGACAGGGAACCGTCAGAAATTCAAGTCAGATCAGAAGAGTATGTGAAACTAGGGACATCTTTACTGACGTCAGATGGATCTTAGCTGAGAGCAGAGAATACAAGAAAGCTGTTAACTTGTGCTATATTGACTATGGAAACACTCCCAATTACATGGACCATAATAAACTATGGATAACACTGCAAAGAATCCATAGGCCAGAACACTTCATTGTGCTCATCAGGAACCTGGACATAGACCTAGAGGCAGTTGTTTGAACAGAACAATACATACAGGATACCGTATGGTTTAAAAACAGAAAATGTGTGTGCCAAGGTTGTATCATTTCACCATAATTACTCAATCTGCACACTGTGCAAAGAATCCAAGAAACTTGATTATATTAAGAACATGTCATCGGGACTGAAGACTCATTAACAACCTGTGATATAAGATGACACAACCTTGCTTGCTGACAGTGTAGGACTTAAAATACTTGCCAATGGATATCAAGAAATACAGCCTTCATTGTGGATTGCACATCAATGTAAAGAAAACAAAAGTTCTCATAACTGGACCAATAAATAACATGATAAATGGAGAAAAGATGGAAGTTGTTAAAGACTTCCTTTTGTTTGGATCCACAATCAACAGTCATGGAAGCAGCAGTCAAGAAATCAAATGACATATTGCATTAGGCAAATCTGCTGCACAAGACCCTCTTTAGAGTGTGCAAGAGCAAAGATGTCAGTTTGAGGACTAAGGTGTGTCTGAGATTTTCAACAGCCTCATATGCATATGAAAGTTGGGAAATTAACAAGGAAGATCATAGAAGAATTTCTGTATTTCAATTATGGTGTTGGAAAAGAAATACTGCATGTACCACAGACTTCAGGAGAACAATCATGTCTGTATTGAAATTATTGTCAGAACACTCCTTAGAAGCCAGGATGGTGAAACTTCATCTCTCATACTTCAGACTCTGTATCTGGAGGGAACAGTCCCTAGATAACAATGTCATGCTTGGTAAAGTTGGGGATAGCAAAAAAGAAGACCCTCAACAAGATGGATTAACACTGTGGCAGCAGTAATGGGCTCAAATGTAGCAACAATTGTGAGGATGCCACAAGGCGACGCAGTATTTCATTCTGTTGTGCATAGGGTGGCTATGAGAAGCACCCAACTAAACGGCACCCCAAAAAAAAAAAAACAGCAATGAATGAACTGGAACCTAGCAGCAATACTTTCTGTCTTATCCTTATGTTCACACAAAAAAAGAAGAAACAAAAACAAAAAGTAGCTGCTGAGGTTGTTTATGTACAATCAAAAATTTTATAGGATTTGGTCTGTTGGTTTGAAGGTTTGGGGTAATCATTTCATGGGGGCATACCAGTTAACTGACCAATTGACATGTTTAGCACTTCTGTACTGTCTTCAAGTGAGAAAAGGGGCCAGGAAAGCTGCGCAGAGGAAGTTTTTCTCCATCACGACAATGCACCTGTTCATTCTTTGAAGGTAGTAAGTGCTGTCCTGTGAGAATTCCATTGGGAAACCTGACCCCATCCATCCTACAACCCTGATCTTACCATTTAAACTTCTTTTTCTTCCAAAAGAACATTTCAAAGGAGCATGATTTTGAGTCCCTTGAGGAAGTCAAAACTGTTGTTCTGACATGTAAATTGAAGAGCAAAGAATCCTTCAGGGAAAGGTTAAAGAGACTGAAACCACACCTTCAGAAGTGTGTAGATGTAGCCTCACATTTTTGATATTTTTGTTTAGTAAAGTTTTCTATGACTTTATAGCACATTCTGACTTATCCTCGTGTAGCTATGACACAAATCTGACAATTCCACTTTTTACAGTTATAATAATTGGTTGTGCAATCCCACCCTTAATCTGTGTTATTTGCATCATGATTAATATTTAGTTATATAATGCTTGGGGTTTTAAAAGCTTGCAAGGAACCATCCAAGGCAACTGGTCTCCATTCACCTGGAGCAACACAGGAAGGAGAGTCAGGAAAGAGAGGTATATATGGAATATGTAGTTAACGGCCTCATTGAACAACTGCTTCCACTGCAATGAGACCAGAACTGAATGGTACCTCACTACCGTTACTGAACATTTTGATCAACCTTCAATAAATCACTCCTGATCAAAAGGCGATAATGCAGAACACAATTTCAAATTCTCATGAATTCCAGACTTCTTGAAGCCTGAAAGGTTGGACGAGCTCTTGAAAATAATTCCCTGAAATATTCTGTAAACTTTACACCAAACACATCACCTGAAGTCTTCTTAAAACCGAACAGTGGTTTAGCAAAACTAATAAAATATGTCTGCTGTAAGCATTACACTCTTTTAAGAACTAGCTATACATGATCAAATGGACAACAGCAACTTGAAAGATGAGACAGAAACCTAAGAGCCAGTGAGTTTATGTTCATGGGGGAGAAACAATTCAGAAAAGGAGGGTAAGAATAACTGCAGAACTCAGAGATTGCAATCAATATCACTATATGGTACATATTGTGAAGAACCATCGAGTTGATGCCAACTCATAACAACACTGTATAGATAAGGTTTCTAGGAGCGACTGGTGGGTTTGAACTGCTGACCTTCCAGTAGGCAGTTTAGTGCTGATTCTACAGAGTCACACCAGGACTCCCCTGAAACTTTACTATACAACACACTTAGTCGTGGGGCAGAGGGATCAGACAGAACTAATTTAAGCATCTCCTTAAAAAGCTGCTGTGATTATACTGCCAGCAATGGCAGCCCACAAATAGTTTCTCTCCTACATTTTTTTTTTTCTTTAAGTTCAGTAATGCGTACATCAGAGTGACTGTCATTGCCAGTTATCATAGATAATAACCTGACTTTCTAAGATTGAGAAAACATGAGAAATCTGGAAAAACACGAAAATAACAAAAGCATCAAAAGAAATGCAGCTCTAATAACTTTTATGTTCCACAACAGGCAAAGGGGCATTTGATTCTTTTCTATTGTTTCAGTAACAATGCTGTTTTTTATTTTTAAATTCTCTATCATTAAAGGCTATCTTTAGTTAGCAGAAGGTACACATTAAGAATAAATTCATTCTGTCTCTACCTTACCTACATACAGACATGTATGTGTTCCTATTACTATTCACATTTTTCAAGTAAACATGATCAGAAGTGATTTTCCACCAAACCTTTTTCTGTTGCCATTCTGCACTACAATCCCATTTTTGCCACACATATCCTGTAACTCCTAAATGGGTCCATGTTTTCTCCTACCACCAGTATTCAATCTCAGCAGATAAATCACTCAAGAAATGATGGATGTGGATAAGGGTGAATGGATTTGAAGAATGCAAAGCACCAAGAATGGAAATCCATTTCAGCATAAATGTTTGTTCGAGATATGCTGAGAATTCTCAGAGAGAAAATATTTTATATACTATATGTATACTGCAAAACTCACCAACCATTAAATTTGTTTGTTATAACATTCTGCAAAGTGAACTGAGTAAATGTAGTATTTTTTTTTTCGCTCCACACTTAAAACATAAGCTTTTTGAAGGACTTACCTGTTGGATTACTTGATGGTATCCATTTAATATTGTTCTCAACTTCCAACTACACAGTAATCTAAAATTTAATGGGACAAAACTGTTCATTGTTCAGAATTAAAAGAAAAAAAAATAAAACTTATTTGTATGCTACCATAAACATACAGTACATACAACATAATGATATAAACATAATTCTGACAAGTTAATAAAATTTTTACCACTGATACTGTTGAAAGTCTTGTCTTCAAACTGCCAGTACTAATTTTATTCCAAAATATAAATAACAGCAATCAGTAAATGACATGCAAAAAGTACATCTTTTTTTAACTTTAACATATCCAGCCTATCAAATATATTTTTCTACTGAACCAGATTCTTTTCCAAGGGAGGTTAAATAAAACCAATGGTTTATATCATAAAGTACGAGGTATGTATACAAAAAAGCATGTGTAGAGATATAACCTTCAAATTGCAATTAACGAAAAGATTGTTAAGTGTCAGCGAGTTGGTTCTGACTCAAAGTAAAACCTACTTTTAATTATGTCAGTTGTTGCTGTTAAGTGCCATAAAGTCAGTTCCAACTCATAGGGGCCCTGTATAGTTTCTGAGGAGCAGCTGAGGGGTATGAACCTTGCAGTTCGCAATCCAGTGCTTGTCTTACAGCGCCACACCAGGACTCCAGTCATGTCAGTTGTTGTTGTTGTTAAGTACTTCCCAGTTGGTTCCAACTCATAGCCACCCTGGATGGGGTTTCCGAAGAGCAGCTGGTGGGTTTGAACTGCCAACTTTGCAGTTCAAACTGACCTTGTGGTCCAGGGCTTATCCTACAGTGCCACACCAGCACTCCATTATGTCAGTAGTGATAAGTAAACTTGCTTATCTCTGTTGTGCACTAGTAATGCTAAAGTTACTCTTCTATTATTGCTGTTCGTGGTTGTTACCATCAAGTCGATTTCCACTCATGGCAACCTCATACGGTTTTCAAGACTGTGACGTTTCGGAAGTAAAGGAACTGGATTGCCAGTCCTGTCTTCTGAGGCGCCTCTGGGTGGGTTGAATCTGACAACCTTCCAGTAAATAGCCAAACACTTAATCATTTGTGATAGAAACACCAGAAGCCATCATTATACCTTCCATTGTTAGCTGGCTATCTCGCATGACCATCCCTACTTGCTCTTGTTGTTGTTGTTATGTGTCGTGGAGTCGGTTCTGACTCAAATCGACTCTGCATAGGGTTTCCAAGGCTGTAAATCTTTATGGGAGTAGAAAGCCTCATCTTTCTCCCGCAGAACAGCTGGTAGTTTCAAACTGCTGACCTTGCGGCTCACAGCCCAATTCGTAACCACTACGCTACCAGAGCTCCTCTACTTGCTCTTAGTGAAAGAGTAACAACTATGGGAAGCCTTCTCTCTAAATGTGCTTTCTATTCTTCCCCACCTGCTCAGTTACTTTGATTCACTGACTATACCTTTACTGTGGTATCCTCAGGTCTTCTGTGCCGCTGTAAGATAAACACTGGACTGCTAATCTCAAGGTTGGAGGTTCAAACCTATCAGTCAATCTTGGAAATCCTACACAGAGTCACTATGAGTTAAGACCAACTTGACAGCACTTGGCAAGAACAGAAACAGTGGTATCCTTAATCTCTGTTTTGCTCATTCCCGCCCCCTGAACAAACCGATTTGCTGAAATATCTTATGTCTCAACTTAAAAGCAATTTGGTCTCGTCAAAGGAATATATACTATTTCCACCTCCTCACTGCCCATTCACCATATAAAACTCCAATAAAAACTGCCTTCTGTCACTCCCCCAAAATTATTCATAACAAAATCTAACAGGATCTCAGAACCACTCATTACTGTTAATGACTTCCTTCTCAGATATATTGACAAATAAATGCCAACTTTTAAAAGTAGACAAGCAGGCAGGTTTGCATGGGCTAAGTAGGACAGAGGTAAATAACAATGTATGCACAAGCTTGGAACAACAGGGCTCTGGGATACAGGGATTGAGACATGGTTGGAATGGGCAAAAGGGGAGAAATAGTGTTAAGATGCTTGGGTGTCTTTTGAAGTTTGGTTTCCCTGACATACCATTATAAAATAGACACTTGAGGGGAGAGAAAGGAATATCCAGAAACATCACCATAGAAAGCTTGTATGTCCGTCTTCTACCTGTAACTGATTGGAATACCTAAAATGGGGCTACAACGTGCCCAGTGAAGGAGGCTTTCTGAGGAGCCTCTGCATTATATAAGACTATAGGTGGAATCCTGAACCCTGTCCAGAATCTTCTAAGGTGGGAAATTTCCACTTGAAAGGAAAAGCAGACCAGTTTGCAGCGGCTAGAAGAACAGAAGATACTTGATGAAAGAAAGACTGACAGGAAAAATACAAAACAATATAAGCAATCCGACTGATTACTACAAGAACAAGCAAGTTGCTCGTCCAGGAGACATCAAGGCAAGTGGTCAGGTCCCCTCAGGGAAAACCCCCTTCCAAGGCTAAGACTCAATGGGGATACACGAACAGACATGCACTCGGATTGGTGACCACGTTAGTCACTGATAAGGGGAAGTGAGAGAAAAACAGCAACGAAGCTGCGAGCTAATCCCTACAACGTTCAATAGACTCCTGTGAACCCAGGTGGAGACCTGATTAGCCAGCAGTATGGCAAGATCTGGGGACTCTGGGGCCCAGAGTCAGTGAAATAGCCACAGAGGACTAGAGTGCAAAGTAAAGCAGAAAAATACCCACTTGACCTGGCTTCAGTGACTGAATGATCAGAGCTCAACTAGAAGAAGAAAGAAGAGGGAAAAAAAGAGTAAGCTGATACAATCTGATGAACTTGACCTACACCTATGGATGCAATAGCTCAAAAGAGGGAACAAATCTTTACAGCGAGGATCATTCCCACCCACTCCTTATACAAGGTACACAGGGATGGGCAACTTGGATATTGGCTACCCAAAATGGGGGGGGGAAGGGAGCGGGGCTACAAAGGCTACTAGCTTACAAGCTTTCAAGAGGGAACCTAGATCCAGAGGGTGCAGAGGAAGGTACAATCTCCACTGAGTAGTATCCAATCTGTCTGGGCGGGGCTGATGAAAGGAGATGTTCATAGGTCTCTTTTGGTACCATAGTGAATAATTGTTATCAGGACTGACTGTGAGGGTTGCAAATGTAAAGGTAGATGTTTTGTAGCAAAAGGAGGGGAGTGATTGACTTTGCAGCCCAGGAGCGGAGGTCCCTGGAACCATCAAGGGAGAAAAGCAGAGTGCGGGACCCTAACCAGAGAAGCAGTGACGCCAAAGATGGAGGCAGAGATGATGACATGGAGAGAGAGAGCAGCTCTAGACCCAGAGATGGAGAGGGGCTGTGTGCTGAGTGACGACCAGTGGGCAGGCTTGCAGGGTATACCCCTTTGGTTGGTTGATGATGCATGGAGGGGATTGTAACCACAGCAATGAAATGATACATGACACGATGGATATAAAGCTAAAGTTCTCCATGTAAATTATTCACAATGGAACATTTTTTTAAAAAAGTAGATAACCAGGCCTTCCTTCTGAGTCTGAAAGCGCCACTGAAACCTCTCCAGATGGGTGACCCTGACAGTATGTGATATATCAGGGCCAGAGCTTCCAGGATTACAACAGCATGCAAACCACCACAGAATGACAAACTAAAAGATACGTGGTGGATTCTCTCTCCTTACCTCTCAATTTGGCTTTAGACACATTATCCTCCAAATATTCCTCTTACTTTTCTAATCAATGTTTAGTCTCCTTCTCATTTATTCTTTATCTGTCCTTTAAATGTTAGTATGTCCCCAAAGGTCTTCCCTTCTCACCCCAGACATAGGTACTGGCAAATCTAACCATTCTCATGACCCCTGATTCCATACCTACTATGACCCCTACATACGCCGCCAGTCTTAAGTCTCACAATAACTAAATCGCTCCCCTTGATATGTGACATCCAATATAACAGGGAATTGTCTCTTTTTCTACTTTTTCATCCATCATTGTCCTAGTTTCCTAAAACGTGCATAACAAAATACAGCAAAGCAAGTAGCGAAAAGCACAGAAATTCATTTTCTCACAGTTCTGGAGGCTAAAAGTCCAAACAAGGGTCTCCCACGTGTTAATTCCCGTGGGCCTCTATGCTACTTTCTGGCAACTGCTGGCAGTCCTCCGCATTCCTTCCAGATGCTCATGGATGCGTCTGCCCACACCACCTCATGGTGTCTCCCTCTGAGCCCTCCTCTCTGTGTGGATATTACTCAGAAGGGTTTGGATTTAGGCCCTTCCCTACTCTGGTGTAACCTCCTTAACATAACAAATGAAAAACCTGATTCCCAAACAGGATCCCATTCACAAGTTCAGGAGTTAGGACCTTAATATGTTTCTGGGGGAAATCCAATCCAATCCATAACAAAGACCTCTTCCCTATCTTAGCAATCTGAGCCAAACACTTGGAAAGCACCCTCTACCACCCTCACCTACCTCTTCTCATGAGTTACAAAACACTGTTAGTTCTACTTCTAAAGACCTCTGTATCCCTTTCCCTCTAGTCTACCTCAGAAATACTTAGAAACAGAATTGAGACTGTGGGCATTCCATGACTAGTATTTTTGCATAGGTCAGTCAATGGTGAAACTTTTTTATTACCAGGACTGAAGTGATAAAGAACACCTTTGCACAAATTTAACGTCAACATAAGTCACATCAGTCAAAACCTGAAACAAAGTTTTTGAATCATTCTGTATTCTTCTTTATACTCCTGTTCAGGACATGTTAGGGAACTATACACAATTGCTGCTCACTGCTTTAAGCAAAAAATTACAGAACGAATGTGCTACCTTTGAGAAGATTTTCTGTACAAGGGAAAATCATTTATAAATGTCTTACTGATTTGGAAAAATCAGAAATGTTTCGGACTAAATGAATAAAAAGAAATTTAGGTAAAAAAAAATCCTAGTCACTGGGATCAGTTCATACCAAACTGACTACTGGCTCCCAAAAGGTGCAGGTATAACCACTTTACCTTGCATTCTTCACTTGCAAATCTTCAGGCAATATTATTTTCAGGTGGAAGTCTCTTCCCTGTGGAAAACAATGAGAAGATTTACTGAAGTTTGGAAGTTCTATTTTTCACCTGATGCAAAGAGAAATAGGCTGACCATGGATTTACACAGAAAAGGAAACACTTTTCCTTTCTAAAAGAATCAACTTCATCCAAATCTTTATACTTGTTAAAACATAAGCAACAGCATATTGCATTTGAAGGGAAACAATTCAAAAATTCTTTTTTGAAACTTTATATAATTGTTGGAAAAGGGAGACATTTTCTAAGATAGGTCTTTGTTTTTAACGAAAAAGTCGTCCACATAAACACAAGAAATACTGGGAAATTATTCAGACATAAAATGTTCTTAGGAAAAACATTTATGGAAAAGGGTATCTGTCAAATTGCTTTAAAATGAAAGACAAAAAATTTATCATAAAGTTAGAATATATAATGCATTGTTGTTGTTGTTGTTAAGTGCTGTCGAGTCGATTCTGACCCATAGCAACCCTGTACAGGGTTTCTGAAGTTGTAAATATTTACAGGAGCAGAAAGCCTCATCCTTCTCCCACAGAACAGCTGGTAGTTTCAAACTGCTAACCTTGAGGTTTGCAGCCCAATTTGTAACCACTACGCTACAGACTTCATATTTTCAATTCACTATGGAAATTTTAAGAGTAATATTAGTTACATAATCTAAATATTCAGAAATATTTACATAAAATCAGAGTATATACTCATGAACCATTAATAAATAAAATACTAACATATTAAATAATTTATTTTAATGTGTAGATTACAGAAAACTGCCATAAATTCAAACTGGATTCAGAAGGGGGTGTGGTTGCTCCTATGAGGGAAATCACTGCTGATGTCAGATGAATCTTAAGTGAAAGCAGAGAATTCCAAAAAGATGTTTATCTGCTATACTCACTATGCGAATGCATTCACAACAAATCTTGAAGACCACTCTGCTAGCGTAGTGGTTACAGGTCGGGCTGCTAACCTCAAGGTTAGCAGTTCAAAACTACCAGCTGTTCCACGGAAGAAAGATGACGCTTTCTGCTCCTGTAAAGATTTACTGCTTCAGAAACCCTATACAGGGTAGCTATGAGTCAGAACTGACTCCACGGCACACTACCCCACCACCACGGCTGAAAAGCTTAGGAATTCGAGAACACTAATTTACACTCATGTGTAACCCATACATACACCAGCAGGCAATCATGATTTAAAATCAGGAAAGGTGTATGTAGAGCAATTAATTACTTGATACGGCTCTTCTTGTCATAGTCTTTGTAACTTCCATCAAATCACTGGGTTATCAGGGTTGTTGTTTAAGCACCATTAAATCAGTTCCAACTCATAGCAATCCCATATAGGGCTTCCAAGGCTACAAATCTTTGCAGGAGCAGAAAGCATCATCTTTATCCCATGTGGCTGCTAGTAGATTGAAATCGCTGTTCCTGTGGTTAGCAGAGTCACTGCATTCCCAATGACTGCGTTGGTGTTGTCAAATGACATCAGGTCAGTTCTGACCCATAGCCAACCATGCAGTTCAAATCAACTTTGCAGTCCAGCGCATTAACCCACAGCACCATAGCAGGACGCCAATGATTGGGTTGTTGTTGTCTTTAAGTGTTGTCGAGTCGGTTCCGACCCACAGAGACCCTGTGTAGAGTTTTCAAGGAGCAGCTGGTAAGCTTGAACTAATAACCTTGCAGTTCAAACCAACTTTACAGATCAGTATATTAACCCACAGTGCCACACCAGGACTCCAATGACTGGGTTGTTTTTGTTGTTAAGTGCCTTCAAGTCAGTTCCGACCCATAGTGACCGTGTATAGGGTTTCCGAGGAGCGACCGGCGAGCTTGAACTGCCAACCTTGCAGTTTATACAGCTTTGCAGTCTGGTGCATTAACCCACAGTGCCACAAGGACCATGCAAATAAGATGTATGAATGGGATTGCTCTGTCTGCCATCCTACCAGGTTTAAAATGAGTCCTCTCAGATACATAAATAAGAACTCTCACTACCATCAAGAAATGAAAGCCAGGTATGGAGTGTGTCCTTTAAGCCCAGAGATCCCTGTGCACAGACATTGCTCATGCAAGGAGACAGAGACATGGTGAACCAGAGATATAGTGTAGTGGGGGGGGCAATGAATCAGGGGAGCTAAGTTTGCTAACCCACAGAGCTACAGTCAAGTGCCTCTGGTTAAGGCTTATAGAGGAGAGGAGTGCCCTTTGGACATTTATCAGTAATATTAATAGGCTTTAAAACACTTGCTGGAGCAGGGGAAAGGTCAAGGGATTGTGTGCTGAGGTGCCAAGGAGCAGAGAAAAGCATACCAGAAGGAACAGCTGAGAAGAGGCACTCTTTATTTTTCTTAAATGTTTTATTGTGAATTATGTGATACTTTACATGGGAGAACATTAGCTTTACATTCACCCTATCATATATCGTTCCATTGCCATGGTTACAATCCCATCTATGCATCATCAAACAACCAAAGGGTATACCCTGCAAACCTGACCCTGGTCATCAGTCAGCACACAGCCCCTCTCCCTCTCTGGGTCTAGAATCCCCAGCCGCTCCATCTCTCCATGTCTTCATCTCTGCCTCCATCTCTGGCATCACTGCTTCTCTGGGTAAGGTCAAGCTCTCTGCTCTTCTCCCTTGATGGTCCCAGGGACCTCACTCCTGGGCTGCAAAGTCAATCACTCCCTTCCTTTTGCTACAAAACATCTACCTTTACATTTCCAACCCTCATAGTCAGTCCTGATAACAATTATTCATTATGGTACCAAAAGAGACCTATGAACATCTCCTTTCATCAGCCCCGCCCAGACAGATTGGATACTACTCAGTGGAGATTGTACCTTCCTCTGCACCCTCTGGATCTAGGTTCCCTCTTGAAAGCTTGTAAGCCAGTCACTTCTTGCCTTTGTAGCCCCCCGCCCCTTTTTGGGTAGCCAATGTCCAAGTTGCCCATCCCTGTATACTCTGTGTATGGAAGGGGTGGGAATGATCCTCGCTGTAAAAATTTGTTCCCTTTTGAGCTACTGCATCCATAGGTGTAGGTCAAGTTCATCAAATTGTATCAGATTACTCTTTTTTTCCTCTTCTTTCTTCTCCTAGTTGAGCTCTGATCATCCAGCGACTGAAGCCAGGATAAGTGGGTATTATCTGCAAGTGTGAGTGTTCTTATGCATATGCCCTCTCTTCTTATCAGCTGGACGCTTCACTTTGCACTCTAGTCTTCTGTGACTATGTCACTGATTCTGGGCCCAAGAGTGTCCAGTTCTTGGAGAAGAGACACTCTCGATTGAAAGAATTTTGTCCTGAGCATTTCTGGTCCTGAATTGTAACCTGTTAATTTCCTAAATAAACCAAATAGTAGTGAGTATTGTCTGTGAGTTCTGCATGGCCACTGCAATAAATTATCAAACATAGCAGAGAAATTGAGAGTGCCTCAGGAGAGACGCTTGGTGTCAGAATCAGTAAAAAAGGGTGGGGGTAGAGGAATGTTGGAATCTGCCTTGGGCTTATGTTGAGTTTGTTTCTCCTTCTACCTTGTGACATCAGAGATCAGACACCATCTACAAGTCAATATTATAGTGTGTGCTATATCTAGTCATACTTATATAATCTGTATGCTGAGAAAATGGTCCAGGAAACTGGGCTATGATACAAAGAATGCAGCTTAAGGACTAGAAGTGTTAACAACCTGTGATACACAGATGACACAATACCTTGCTTGCTTAAAGAGAAGCGGGCTGGAAGCACTTCTTATGAAAATCAAAGATTACAATCATCAGTATGGATTACACCTCAACAGCAAGAAAACAAAAATCCTCACAACTGGACAAGTAAGCAACATCATGACAAATGGAGAAAACACTGAAGTTGTCAAGGATTTCCTTTCACTTGGGTCCACAGTTAATACCCACGAAAGCATCAGTCAGGAAATCAAAGGATGTATTGCATCAGGTAAAGATGCTACAAAAGACCTCTTTGCAGTGTAAAAATGCAAAGATGTCACTTTGAGGACTAAGGTACACCTGACCCAAGCAATAGTTCCAATCACCTCATATCATGAGAAAGATGGGCAATCAATACAGAAAAATCAAAGACTAATTGATGCCCTTGAATTGTGGTGTTGGCTAAGTATACTGAATATACCGCCAAAAGAAGAAATGAATCCATCTTGGAAAAAGTATAGCCAGACTGCTCCTCAGAAACCACGGTGGCAAGACTTCGTCTCTCATACTTTGGCCATCTCAGGAGGGACCAGTCCCTGGAGAAGACATCATGCTTGATAAAGTAGAGGGTCAGCAAAAAGGAGAAAGACCCTCAATGAGACTGACTGACACAATGAGCTAAGACAGCAATGGGAGGATCATGCAGGACTGAATGGGCAATGTTTCGTTTTGTTGTAGAAAATGTCACTATGAGTCAGAACTGACTCAACACCACCTAATAACAATAACAAATTTCAATATACTAAATTTTATTCAAACATTCTTTCCAAGGGAAAGAACTATTTGTTGAGAAATATGTTCACTTTTACTTTCCTAGGAAACTGAATGGGTAAGCAGTTTAAATTTTGTACCTTAAATAGGATAATACACATGAAATTTGAGCAAAGGTAAGCAGAAAAGACAAACAGAAATATAATCTTTTACTCCAACAGTATAAAATGAAAAAGAGTAATAAAATTCTCGAAAAACAATTACAACGTGGAATTTTAGCACAGGCTATCTCAAAGCAGTTTCAAAAATAGAGGAACACAATTAAATGTACCCCATAACCTTTACTTTCATGGTAATATTACAGTTTCTGACTTTCATTACATTTAAATGTCCTTTAAAAAAATGAAACAAAATGTACTACTGACCTTTTCAAAAGGTCAAGTAACAATAATTCACTATTTCATTAAGGCACTAAAAGGTATTATATAGTAACTTCAACCTGGCTTTGTAGACATCGCACACATAGGTGTAAGTACAATCTGGAATTCAAAATTTACATGAAA